CTGGTTGTTGGCAAGAAGCTCAAGGAATGGAAATACACCATGGTGGGGGGACGCTGGGAGAGCGCAGGAGGTGGCCTTCTTACTCACTGGCTCTGATTCCCTTGCCAGACAAATGATATAACAATGCTGTAGGGCTTAGAAAAATTGGGGCAATGCTGGGGCCGTGGGCAGCAGTGTAATAATGATAGTGTGCCTGGTCCTCTCAGGGGCAGATAAAATACACCGATACACGCTTCTCACATTTAACCAGCCCCAGTCCTGTCTAACAGAGGGTTTCCCACTCTTTTGCCCCAGTTGCTCATCTTTTTCAAGCCTGACTCAGAAATACACAGTATCCCATCTAAAAAGACTTCTGTGTTTGTGAGAAGGGTCTAACATAGGAACTTGGGAGTGGGGGAAGGGCACCTGGCAGTTTTCCAGCACATTTGGGACTCCCTGCCTGCACTCTGGCCATAATCAGCGTCAGGCCTTCAGAATATAGGCCTGTGAGGAACAAGGGAGGGATATGGCAGGCCCTCGTGGCACTTCCCTCTTTCCTCTTTTCACTCACTGCCCCTCTTCTCCCCCCAGCAGGTTGGCTACAGGCAGCCCTCACCAGGAGCCCACCAGTCACTGCTGGAACCACTGGAAGGCCAAATGAGGCGCTGTGCCCAGGCATCTGGCCCTTTCAGAGTTTATGGCCTCTGGACTAGAAAAGGATTGACCCATTTTATTTTGGGAGATGAATGGGAAATGAAAGTAATTAGTGGGAAAAGGACTGGACTGGGCGTCTGAAGACCTGGGTTTACTTCCAGCTGGGCCATTTCTGAGCCCTGTGACCTTGGACTAACACTTAATCCCTGCAGACCCATGTTTTTTGGCTGAAAAATGAGGTTTGAACTGAGTGAATTAGAGAGTAAAACTGAGCCTAGTGATTGATTTTGTGCATATTCCAGTGGCCGTGGCCATGTGGCTGTGTGTGTGGATATAGGTAGGGGATGAAAAGATGAACCAAAGGAAAAATGGACTAACACCAGCACAGGGTAAATGCTCAGAAGTGAACGTAAGCAGCTGGAATAAGAAGGTGTGTCAAAGGAGAGAAACTTCCTTCCTCTTGGCATCAAATAACAAATCAACCCAAAACTTGGTGGTGTAAACCAAAACCAGTGCGTTAAAAAACAACTTTAAAAAAAGGATTTTGTTGGTTATAAATTCAGGAAGGGCTTAGCTGCTTTTTTGTCACATGGAATTTCTCCTGAGGTTGCAGTCAGACACCCGCAGGGACGGCAACCATCTGAAGGCTCAACAGGGCTGCATTTCCAAGATGGCCCATCCACATGGCCCGGAGCCACTGGAGCTCAGCGAGCCTGTGACCAGAGGCCTGCCCAGCAAAACTTTCTTAAGGGAGGCAGACTCATTGCGTGGTGGCCAGATTCTTCCAGAGCAAGCACTCCAGGAGGAAAAAGTAGAAGTGGCATGGCCTTTTCCAATCTCGCCTCAGAAGCCACACTGTGAGGCTTCTGTCACACTTTATTGCTCAAAGCAGTCACCAGCCCATCCTGACTCAAGAGCAGGGAAAGAGGCTCCTGTTCTTTTTTTTTTTTTTTTAAAGATTTTTTTTTTTTAATTTATTTATTTGACAGAGAGAGATCACAAGCAGGCAGAGAGGCAGGCAGAGAGAGAGGAGGAAGCAGGCTCCCTGCTCAGCAGAGAGCCCGATGCGGGGCTCGATCCCAGGACCCCGAGATCATGACCCGAGCCGAAGGCAGCGGCTTAACCCACTGAGCCACCCAGGCGCCCCAGAGGCTCCTGTTCTTGATGAGAAGATGTTAAAGAATGTTGGAGTCAAGTTTTTTTAAAAAATATTTTATTTATTTTTTTGACAGAGAGAGACACAGCGAGAGAGGGAACAGAAGCAGGGGGAGTGGGAGAGGGAGAAGCAGGCTTCCCGCTGAGCAGGGAGCCCGATGAGGGCCTTGATCCCAGGACCCTGGAATCATGACCCAAGCCGAAAGCAGACACTTAATGACTGAGCCACCCAGGCGCCCCTGGAGTCAAGTTTTAAAGGTGCCTCAGGCACCTGACAAGAACGCCCTGATTTTTCTCAGTATCTTTGAAATAAATGTCTTGATAATTTTTTAATTTAATCAGCTTTCTGAGAGAAGAGGCTTCCCAAATGATCTGCTTGGCTGGGTGCTCACGAATTGAGTATACTTAAAGAACCTCTGCACTTTTCAAGTCAACGGTATGGTTCCAAATCAGAGATCACTTTAACCTCCATTGCTGTTTGATATGAATAAAGTTAGCTACATAACTCCTCAGTGCAGGAAAAAGGCAAAGAACTGTGAAAAATAAAATAATCAGACTACTATTTCTAGATTGATTTAGGCACTTCAGAAAAAGGCCTCTGCTTCTGCAGATCTGGCAGCTCACTGGGGACATGGGACAACCACGCCACACACCACGTCAGAGAGAGAGACACCAATTCACCAGAAGTGACTCAGAACAAGCTCTTCTACAGGAAAACACTTCAGAACTCATCTGAGGTCAAACATACGTGCCTTGGACCTGAGTGCTTCTGACACTGGCGCCCCAAGAGCAGGCACACTTCACGCCTTCTTCCTTGGGTCTAATTTCAATGATTATTCCTTCCCATCTTATGCAGCTACCATCAGACCGATTTTAGTTTCTGGGGATTAAACAGTTTCTGAAGGTTGTTATCACTCCCCTTCAGTGAAGCACATCTTCAAACACCTTCCTGGATAATTACCATGGCCCAGTGGTTGGACAATCACCACAGAGTGCTTTTAAACACATACACAGACACACACACAGACGCGTGCATGCGTGTGTTTCTTTGTGTTTGCTTTGTTTTTGCATTTTCAAAGCCCAGTGGTTCGTGAGAGACAGTAGAAGGACAAAATAAGAAGACATATGGTAGTGCTTAAATTATTCCCCAAAAGGGAAAGTGTCCAATATGAAATTATTCACTCTTTCTACTATTCTGGGGTGGGGAGGGAGGCATTTCAACCAAGAAAATCATAGTATACCCACAATGCCCAGAGGAGAACTGAATTATATTATCAACTTCCAAACACAGTCAGCAATATTTCACCAGAAAAGCTGCTTTGCAAAAATTAAACCTCTAATGTTTACACTGGGAAATACCTCCAGGCCTTCTCTGCCATCTTCCCCAACACCCTGCACATGAGTGTGTGTATACACACACGCGCGCGTGAGCACCCCCCACCCCCACCACAATCTCTTTTTCTTTCCAGGATCCTCATTGTTTTGTTGACTTCTGTTATCCTACACAGGTGATTCTGTAGTGAATACCCAAAAATGTCTCCAAAAGGAAGAATTACACCAAGTGAATTTTGTCTTTTATCTTTCAAAATGTTCTAGGAACCTACAGACTCATCTGATCTAAGCCATGGAAAAGCCATAAGGAAGTCACTTAGATAATTACTGGAGATCTTTTTTCACCTAAAATGATAAGCAAAGGAGGGACGCCTGGGTGGCTCAGTTGGTTAAGCCGCTGCCTTCGGCTCAGGTCATGATCCCAGCGTCCTGGGATCGAGTCCCACATCGGGCTCCTTGTTCTGTGGGGAGCCTGCTTCTCCCTCTGCCTCTGCCTGCCACTCTGTCTGCCTGTGCTCACTCGCTCTCTCTCTCTCTCTCTCTCTCTGACAAATAAATAAATAAAATTTTAAAAAAAAATGATAAGCAAAGGAAAGGGGAGGGGGAGATTGAGCTCCAGTTTCCTGTTGTTTTTATTCAGTTTATGCAACTTCAGTCCATTCAACCTAGCCTTAGGCATGTTATATAAAGGTTTTATGGAAAGAAATAAGCTTCAAGAAATATTTTTTAGCTGAAATCTTAAAAATAGCTGATGCATTCACATGGTCCGAGATGAAAACATTATAAAAATGTGTATGTTGATGAAGATGGCCAGTAGACACATGAAAAGCTGCTCAACATCACTCATCATCAGGAAAATGCAAGTCAAAACCACAATGAGATATCTCCTTATTCCTGTCAGAATGGCTAGAATCAAAAAGACAAATAACAAGTAATGGTGAGCATGTGGAGAAAAGGGAACCCTCATGCACTGTTGGTGGGAATGTAAATTGGTGCAGCCACTGTCAAAAACCGTATGGAGGTTCCTCAAAAAATGAAAAAATAGAAATACTATATGATCCAGTAATCCCACAACCAGCTATTTACCCAAAGAAAATGAAAACATTAATTCAAGGAGATATATACACCCCCATGCTTACTGCACCATTATTTATAACAGCTAAGATACAGAAGGCTCCCAAGTGTCCCTCCATAGATGAAAGCATAAAGAAGATGTGAAATATATACAATGGAATATCATGCAGTCATAAAAATGAGTGAGATCTTGCAATCTGCAACAACATGGATAGACCTAGAGGCTATTATACTAACTGAAATAAGACAAAGACAAATACCATATGATTACACATATACGTAGAATCTAAAACACACACACACACACACACAAGCAGAAACAGACACGTAAGTATAGGAACATACTGATGGCTGCCAGCAGGGAAGGGAGTGGTGGAGATGGGCGAAATGGGTCAAAGGGAGTTGGAGGCACCGGCTTTCAGTTACAGAATGAACACGTCACTGGACGAAAGGTACAGCATAGGGAATGTAGTCAATGGTATTGTACTAGCGCTGTATGGTGACAGATGGCAGCTACACTTGTGGTGAGCAAAGCACAAGGTATAGAGAAATTGAATCACTATGCTGTACACCTGCAACTACTGTAACACTGTGTGTCGACTATATTTCAATTAAAAAAAACAGTAAATGTTGAGAGGTCTGTCCCCATGTACTCCAGTTCCTCTCCACCCCCATGCCCTGTCCTTATAGGGGATTCTCACGTATGTTCCTGGTGTTTATGTTGACGCAAGCAAACACAAAGATACCCATATTTTGCTTCCTTTCCCATTGTTTTTGAGAAGGAATTTAAGAGAGAAGGAACTGACCTTGCTTGTCCTGTGGTGAGAATCCATGAGCAGAGAAAACAATGGAATATCAGAAAGAATGGATTTGATTTCTCAGTTACTAAGATTCCCAAATTCACTTTCTCTGACTTTGGTTCTTTGGTTAAATCTCTTCTTTGGGCCTTTTAGTTCTCTAAATTTCCCAAATCCTTACAATCTGCAGAGCAAAAATTTTAGGTAATTCACATAGCTCATATATTTTGTTTAACAATGAAAACACGTATATCCTACCCTTCAGAAGAGTAGAAAAAGCGCAACAGGAAATGTGTGGGGTCCCCTTAAGAAGGGCTCCCCATAAACCAGAGGCCTGAACATGGACATCCATTCAGGACGGTGGCCCTGCCTGAGGGAAGAACATTTATTCTGAGCCTGAAGCTTTTCTTTATCTTACATGTACCCACACATACAGCAAACACAGGCCTTATACAAACATCTTACACTTCAGACCCTTGGGAGTCTAAAATAGAATACTTTGTAGATTTTAGAAACAACCACAGGAATCTGGATGTGACCAGATAATTAACACTAGGCATTGTGTGGGACTGTGCCAGACCCCGAAAACAATTAAATAACTTTAAACTCATATTTTGGAAATGAAAAGGCAATGGCAACAACTTGTTTTTCAAATTAAGTTGAAACACAATAAATGATGTAATTTGCTGTCACTGTTTGTTGTGTAGGATTGTATTATATGTCAGATGAATAAGGACAAACTAAATTGTGAATGATACATAGAATAAATTACTGAATGGGTGTGTATTATATCAAGTGCTTTACATGGTCAACATTTTCCTGAAGAGTTACAGGAGAGGTGTTTTGTGAAAATCAAATAAAATTTGGTTAAATATTTATTGATTTTATTATTATTATTTTTTAAAGTTTGCTTATTCTTCGGTAATCTCTACCTGCAACATGGGGCTTGAACTCACAACCCTGAGATCAAGAGTCACATGCTCTACAGCCTGAACCAGCCAGATACTCCTGGTTAAATATTTAAAGAAATCCTTAGGATGACTCATTTATTTTAATTTTTTATTTAAAGTGAAACACATGATCATTTTAAAGATATCTGAACAGTATAGAAAGTATACAGTAAAACTTGTTTCCATCCCGCCTCAGCCCAGCTTGTCAGGCTTGTGCCTCAGAAACAACCAGTGTACCACTCTCTTAGGTTTCTGACAGAAAGGTTTTGCATATTGTAATATGTAAATACCTCTATTTTTAAAACACAAATAAGAGTATGTTGCAAACCCATTCCTTACTTGGCCTTAGTCTCCATCAGCATATGCGCACCTGTGCTGCTGAATATCTCCACTGGGAGGAAGGCCCTCGGGTTATTCAGCCTGCCCCTGCTCTGTGAGGAGTCCTCTGTGAAGTGACTAAGCACCCTTCATGTAGTACAATGAAATCACCTCCTAACAACCTCATCCCCTAAACCCGATTGTCATGCACCAAGCGTTGCCTGCTCTCCCTTCCTGGTATCTGGAAAATCTTTTTTTGCCCTCTCAGTCATCATCATCCCGGACTGCCTGACGTCCCGTGTCGGAAAGCCATTCTTTTATACATTTTGTTGCCATTTTTTTAGTTGTTTCAGGCAGTAGCATAAATCCAATTCATGTTACTCCATCTTGGCCAGGGCTGGGGTGTCATATTTTTTCAACACCAAAGTGTTTCCTAAACTTGGATGTATACAATCATCTGAACAGCTCATTAAAAATAAAGATTCCTGGGCTCCCATCCAGAAATTTTGACTTGGAGAGCTGCCTGGGAATCTGTATTTTCCACCAGGGTCTCAAGCAGTGTTGACGCAGCCCGGCCATGGGCCAGACTGGTTGTCTGGGAACCACTGGCTTTAAGGATGACTGTATTTATTTGTCAGCTATTCTCAAGTGATGCCACCATATGGACACTCTGTTTTTCAGATGAACAAAATAAAAATAGGTGGTGAGGTTGATTTCTTGCCAGGCTTCAAACTACTGAATCTTGGTAAACACACCGCCACCTCTGAAGAGTGTCTGAAGAGGCCAGGGTTCTGTTCTAGAGCGACAGCTCCGCTCGGCACGTGACGCAGCTGACCCAATGAGCTTGAAGGCAGGTTGGGAATCGAGTTGGAAGGGGCACATTTACTTGTCGGCACAGAGAGGGCACAAATCCCAGCAGCTTCAGTTTAGTTAAACTCGTTTTGGAAAATATTTTTGGCTTGTGTGGTTTTATGCTTTTAGAGTTCCATTTTTAAGCACTGGACCCGTCCAAACCCACCGAAGCTCAGCTGAAGCGTCCAAGGAAGACGCTGAGTTTCACACCGATCTCTGCTGAGTCTGTAAAAATTTCTCAGATTTGTCCAAATTGCTTTGTTGAGAAACCAAAACAAAAATCACTAATCCCAGTGGGGTTTGTAGGGTCCTGTGGTTTTCATCCAAAACTCTGGCTAAAGCAGTGGTTGGTCATGTGACTTACAAGTCTAAAGGTTTCATTATGAAACCCGAAAGAAACCCACAACCTTCAGATTTAAAATATACTCCCAAGAGACTAACCTCTCCTCCCTCCCCCCCCACCAATCTTCTTAGTTTTGGCCTGGAAGCAAAGACTAAGGAAACATGTCCAATCCAAACCAAATGTTGTCAGGACTCACTACATTTTAAATCCAAAGCCGTATTTTATTCCATTGGGATGACATTGTTTATTAACACTGTCTGAGGCAATTGAATTGTCTAGAAAAGTTCAGGAGAGCTGGAGGCCCTCTCTTGTTTGTATTATGATCAGAACTGTTCAGTAAACAAAATGAGTTCAACATAAATGATGAGATTTTATTTTACCATATATTCTTCCCTTAGGATATATAAATAACAAATTGTGAAGTGAATTATGTTTTCTCATCTTTAATATAAAATTTTACTCATTAAATGTCAGATCCCTTTACAACAATGACTCAAATTCTAGGATACACCAGAAAAACCTGGAGAATTTGTGATGTCTGCATATTCTTATTCTCTATCACCATGTGACAAGTTATCACAAAACTCAGAGGTTTAAAGCAACAGCCAACTTATTCCATTTCATAATTTTGTGGGTTAGGAACTCTGGGAAGGATCAGCTGGTTGATTCTTCTGCTCTAGGTGATCACCTGGGGTCATCAATTGGTTTTCAGCTGGTGTCTGGTCTCATCCGGAGGGTCCTGAAGAGCTTCACCCACATGCTGGGCAAATCGGAGGGGATGAGTGGAGAGTTGTCTCAGCAGGCTCTTTCCCCTCTTCATGTAGTCTTAGGGTCCCTCCACATAGTCCAGGCCTTCCAGAGACCAAGGTTGGGCCTGGAACTGGCAGAGCTTCAGCTCATTGTTCACAGCAGCCATGGGCTAATTTCAAGGAGGGGAGAAATAGACCCCGTCTCTTGACGGCAAAAATGTCAGTTTGTGGCCATCATCTATCCACTACAAGGCAGCTGCCACAGTTACACTCTCAGAAATTCTGAAATAGCCAGTGCGTGGTGGGGTTCAAGTACATGCATTTTAGAAAACACCCAAGGAGATTCTGGTGCAAAGGATCCTCCCAGCACTTTTTGAAAAACACCACTCAATAAGAGGTGATGGAATGTGTGCTTATGATCAATCTGTCCATCAGTTAACAAACACTGATGGTGTGATATGTGCCCAGAATCACGGTAGGTGGTGTGAAGAGCTGAAAGGAACATCAAGAAGGGATCTCAGCCCCAGAGGCGCTCAAATACATTTCACAGGAGCCAGGGTGTAGGGGGTGGAGCCTGAATGCACTGACCCCCTGTGGGAGAGGGCCTGCTGCTGGGGGTGCAGCACAAAATAGTCTCCTGTAGCCGAGGTGTAGCACAAAGTAGTCTCTTGTAGCACCTGGAACTTACACTATAGGAATCAGATCAGAAGTTGTGTTGGAATGACTAGATGGCCAGAATGAATTATGGGGGAAAGGGGAGCTGGATTCTTCATAGTTTCTGGTCAGAAATAGGGGAGGGAGCTGAGCAAAAGAGCCAGAGGCATGATGGCTCCCAAAACATTTTTCTTTTTCTTTTCTTCTCTCTCTCTCTTTTTAAAAAAGATTTTATTTATTCATTTGAGAGACAGAGAGAACAAGTGGGGGAGAGGAAGAAACTGAGCTGGGAGCCCTATGTGAGGCTCCATCCCAGGACCCTGGGATCATGACCTGAGTGGAAGGCAGATGCTTAACCAACTGAGCCACCCAGGTGCCCCTCCCAAGTATATTTTTCTCCCTTCCTTCCTTCCTTCCTTCCTTCCTACTTCCCTCCCTTCCTTCCTTTCTCCCTCGCTTCCTTTCTTTCTCCCTCCCTCCCTTCTTTCTTTCCTTCCTTTCTTTTAAAAAAGTTATTATTATTATTATTATTATTTTTTTTTTTTTTTTTTAGAGAGAGAGCATGAGAGCGGTGGTGGGGTGGCAGATGGAGAGGGAGAGAATCCTCAAGCAGACACTCTGCTGAGTGTGGAGCCTGATGTGGGGCTCAGTCCCAGGACCCTGAGATCACGACCTGAGCCAAAGTCGAGAGTCAGACACATAACAAACTGAGCCACCCATGTGCTCTCCAAATAAATTTTTCAAAGTGCGATCTTTTTTCCCAGGATTCCGACAGGATTAATTTCCCTCATCTTTTATTCCTCCCCACTCCTGACTTGCTTTCTGATCCCTTATACCTGCCTTCCTATCCCAGCAAGTCACACAGCTCAGCTCCAGGACAGGACAGCTAGTCCTTCCAGTAACAACATGGGTTTTCTCTGCAGGCTCCTGACTCATCCTGCATATGGCTTCAGCAGCCAAATAGTCTCTGGACCCTAAGTCCAAAGCAGGCTCTGTGGGTCTGTGTGTATGTGTGCACATGTCCACACACTCACATATACATGTATGTGCGTGTGCGCGCGGTGTTTGTGTGTGTGTGTGGTGTGATGGGGTGACTCCTGGGGGAGGCACGGATTGGGGGAATCCTGGGCGACGGGTCAAGCTGTGAAGGATTTTAGTGGGAATTTGAGCACATTACTGAAAACAATACTGAGAAAGATCATCTGTAATCTAGAGAGATACACATGATAAGAGATGAGAGTGGAATGAACTCTGTGGTCATGGACGAGAGAATGGGATAGGAGGTGTGCTTGGAACAGAAGGATCTACGAGATCATCT